TTTTTTTTTTTTTTCAAATAGATTTATGCACGTGACTGGTACATGCAACAACGCACAAGAGCTATAATAATTTATAACAACAAGTCTCGATAGAGCATATAAAATATTCATTTATTATTTTACAGGTATTTGGGCTTGGAAACAAAACATATGAACATTACAACGAGGTGGCTATATACGTTGATCACAGATTAGAACAACTTGGTGCTACACGCGTTTTTGAACTCGGTTTGGGAGACGATGATGCCAAGTAAGTTCATAAGATTGCCACTACATATTAAATACTTGCAAAATGTATCTAACGTATCGAGCATTTCTATGTGACATTCTTAAAAGTGAAACACTTACGATTGTAGTATAGAAGATGATTTCATCACGTGGAAGGATAAATTTTGGCCAACAGTTTGCGACTTCTTTGGAATTGAAGGTGCTGGCGAAGACGTGAGCATCAGACAGTACAAGCTGACTGAACACGTTGATTTGCCAGCTGACCGCATTTACACCGGTGAATTAGCTCGTCTTCACTCATTTAAGAATCAGAGAGCGTACGTTCGATCGATCTCTTAAATACATTATCAGAGTCTGTTCGAGATACTCATCCTAGTTAATTTAATTTTTACAGACCATTCGATGCAAAAAATCCCTTCTTAGCTCCAGTAAAGGAAAATCGCGAGCTTCACGGCTCAATTTCAGAGAGGTCGTGCAGACATATAGAGTTTGATATAGATGGGTCGAAAATGCGTTACGAAGCTGGTGATCATTTAGCAGTGTATCCTGTAAACAATGCAGAGCTAGTGAATAAAATTGGAGAAAACTGTGGCGCAAATTTGGACACGGTGTTCACTCTTACAAACACAGATGGTACATTAGAAATCAACTAGATGTCAATTGAATTCACGTCAATATCACTAATGGGAATTGCGTTTCACACGTTACAGAGGAATCTACAAAGAAACATCCATTCCCTTGTCCATGTTCTTACAGAACTGCTTTGACACATTACTTGGATATCACTAGTAACCCACGCACGCACATTCTCAAGGAATTGGCCGAGTATTGCAGCGATACGAATGACAAAGAAAAATTGAAATTGATGGCGTCAACCAGCGTGGAAGGCAAAGCTGCGTATCAGCAATGGATAGTTCAAGAAAACAGAAACATTGTACATATTTTGGAAGACATTCCTAGCTTGAAGCCAGCCTTGGATCATCTTTGTGAAATTTTACCGAGATTGCAATGTCGATACTATTCGATCTCCTCTTCTCCCAAGGTATGTTAAAATCTTTAACGAATCAAAACTACGTACGTAGTTTAAAATTATGCGCCTGTGTAACGTGTACGTATTGTAACAATATAATCTTATTATAACAAATAGGGTTTTAGAGGATTGTAAAACAACGGTTTTGATTAATTTTTAGCTGTATACAACGTCAATTCATATTACCGCGATTGTAGTGGAATATAAAACACCTACAGGTAGAATTAACAAAGGTGTGACAACCAGTTGGTTAAAGGAGAAACATCCTTCGAATCCACCGTGTTACGTTCCTATTTTCGTGCGAAAGTCTCAGTTTCGTTTGCCAAATCGGCCGTCGATTCCAATCGTTATGGTTGGTCCGGGTACTGGTATAGCACCATTCAGAGCGTTCATACAGGAACGTGATTTTGCCAGAAAGGAAGGTAAACGATACAATTCAGTGTATCTTTTAACATACAAAATTTGTACTTTGCAGAAATAAATCAAACGAGTATATTATTTTTGATCCGTTAGGAAAAGAAGTTGGAGATACTATCTTGTATTTCGGATGCAGAAAGAAAGACGAAGATTTCCTTTACAAGGAAGAACTCGAGGAGTATGTAAAAAGTGGTACTTTAATCTTACACACTGCATTTAGCAGAGAGCACGCTCAGAAAGTATACGTTACACATTTATTAGAAAAGAACAAAGACGAATTGTGGAGAGTTATCGGTGAACAAAATGGACATATATACGTGTGTGGGTTAGTATTACGCTCATATTTATTCCATCAACTACATAAACATATGGTATTAATTTCGTAAGATATCAACTACTCTACCAATTATAATCTTATAATTCGTGTAGTAGTAATTTTTACTTCGCACAATTGACTATAAAGCTTTTCAATTGTAATTTTACTACGATACGTCGAGATTTTGATACCGAAACATCTGTTAAAAATCTAAATTGGAAATTATTTGCAATTCAATATACGCGTGGGTCAATCGTAATTCATGAAATATTTGTGTGTTTCTAGCGATGCGAAAAACATGGCACGCGATGTGCATAATATTTTATTAAAAGTTGTAATGGAGAAAGGGAAAATGTCCGAGTTGGATGCTGCTGATTATATCAAGAAAATGGACTCGCAGAAACGTTATTCGAGCGACGTATGGAGTTGAACGACGTTATTTAACCTTCGGCCGGCGAATGAGAGGCCCGAACGGATCTCGCATTCACCGGCCCACGTTGCTAGTCGGCAGAGCACCCGCCGTCCGAGGGTTAATTTAATTTCATAAATATTTATAACTTAAATTGTTCAAATTTTATAAAATTATACCTTTACGAGAAGGCCAACGATAATCACCTTCGTATAATTGTGCGATATACATGTATAATTTATATAGGTATAAATTAATAAAAATAAAAAACGAAGAAGTACGATAAAGTGAAAAGGAGCACTGTTTTTAGCCCAGAATTTATTGAATTTTGCGAAACTCGTTGCGAGATTAATATTACAAATTGTCTAAAAATTACCATTACAAATAGAGTATTTGATTCGATATTTTGACTTACACACTTTAATAAATATTCTTTAAATCCTCTTGCATCGTTTGGATCATTTGCAAGGTTGAAATGAAGTATAAAATATTTAAGAATTGCTGCTTCTCTTCTTCGTAATCGTGAAAATGAAATGAAGTTGTCACATATAGGATCATTGATTATATACATTAGCTGTCCTTTGTAAAAAAATGACATAATTTCTATGGACCGCGAGTGTTTCTTCGTTTGCATATGTTAATACTGTATTCAG